TATGTTATATTTTTGCTGACGTTAAGCATGGATACTTCCTGGACCCAATGATTCATTTTATATTTTTGCTGACGTTAAGCAGAGAACTAACCTCTCACATGGATACTTCCTGGACCCAATGATTCATTTTTATCAATTTGCCAATATGCCCAATTGTCAGCACTGTATGTCTGAATTTTGTACACTTGTACTGGGAAAAAGTTAGTTTGAACATGAGTATTGGTCCTGAATGTTCTGGAGTGATGATAGTGTATTCCAGTAATAAATTCTGCTAATTTGTCTATTAGCCACACTGCCACCCTCTTGGTACCTGCTCAGATATATGTTAGTGGTTTCCATTCTAGCTCCTTCCCTGCTTCTTTGTTACTGGTTTTCAGGGATTTCATGAGACAAGGATCCAAGCTAAGCAACACAGCTAGCACATCAATAGAAGTGGGGTTCCCTGTTTAGCCTAGTATTAGATCTCTGCCTCCAGATGGTGCTTTTGTTTTGTGATTGATCACCAAGAGGTTCTGGTCCAACTCAGTTCCTCACATTCCCTTTTTTTCCTGCCACTTGTTCTCAGCTCAGTGCAGCAGTTGTATCAGCCAATCCAGTTGTGCCAGCATGTGTGAGATGAAACAGCACAAAAGGGTGTGCTGGTGAAAGGGCAGTTGTGCAAGCACAAGAGGCTGCTGCCCATTCCAAGCCCACTAGAGTTAATGTAGCTCTGAGTTTGGATTGCGCTGCTTTCTGGCTTAAAAAAAATACAGAATAGCTCTAACTACTGGGACTTGACTCTAGTGGAAGCAAATGCATTCAAAATAGCAGTACCAGTCTATCTGAGTTGTGTTTACAGTCATGCTGCACGTATCTTGTTCAGCTTTGCGCAAAGCACCGTACCTACTACCCATAAAGCCAGGCTGGCTAGTAGATTCTGGGAGGTGCAGTACAAAAAGTATGTTTTCCAAGCGGTCATGTTTTCATTAATTTGCTGGCTATGCTTTTGTTTCTTAATGCCTTGTAAAACAGAGCCGCTTTTATTCAGATGGCCTGCTTTAAAATCAATGTCTCCTCTTTGAAGAAATCAGAAAACATCTCTTGCTCCATTTTTTCTTTTTTCTTTTCTTTTTTCTATTTTTGGTATTTTCTTTGTGTATGTGTTGGACTGGGCTGTAGATTTTTCCATCTAAACGAGTCCCAGACAGCTTCCAGGAGTGCTAGCATCCAGCCATCCTGTCTCCTGTAATGCTCTGTTCTTCCCTACAACTGTTAACAAATTGCTTACATATCTGAAGAAATGACCTTGTAAGTCAAAACAATCATGTGGGAAAGAATGGTAAGATTCCCAAAGCAGAGGACTCCTCCCTTTCATGAGAGCTTTAACTGTTTGTCGGCAGAAAAGGGGGCTAAAGATGCCTTCGTGAGAATGTCATGATGGATATCTTCACTCAGGAGCAGGGATGTAAATCCTCCCTGGTCTTGTCCTTGCAAGGAGGGCAAACAATCACAACATTCTTCCCCTTGCCTGTGAGATTTCTAGCTGCTCCTTTGTCTGCCTTCCCCTTTTCTTCCACTTTTGCCCGAAACTGGAATGACCATTCCTTAGCTTCATGGAAATTGAATGATTTTATGGTTTGGATAGTCCCACCCGCCGCCACCGTCCACTTGCTGTGCTGGCTTGGTTTGCTTCTTCAGGGGAAAGAAACAAATTATGGAGGATTTAATGGGAGGCTCACCCATCTCCCCCAATAACTCTTGCTCTTGGTTAAAGGCAAGAATTCCCAAGGGGCTTTCCTCTTACGGGCTGTCATTTGGCAAGTACTTTTCACATCTTTACTTAGAATACAGGAGTGGGAACTTGGCTAGGGCAAAAAGCATCCCTTTGGCTGGGTTGCTTTGCTTTGTTTTGTTTGCTCTGCCCAATTGTGAGTTCTTGGCTTTAAACAAATCTTGTGCAATTTTCTAGTCCTGATGTTTATTGAAAAGGTACATTTAAAAATAAAGAATCATAGTACCAAAGAATTGTAGAGTTAGAAGGGACCCTATGGATCAATGAATTCAGCTCCCTCCTAAAGCAGGAGATCCACAGCTAAATCCCTTTGGTGCATGGCAGTCCGTCTGGCCTTTGTTTATAAACCTCCAGTGAAAGGGAGCCCATCACTCTTTGAGAGAGTCCATGACAGCCACAGAGCAAAGAATGTGAAACAAGGTGACAAATGTAAAACGTCCCCATCCCAACTGAATTATATTTTACAGCTCTCCTTGTTTCTCTATCTAGGTGAGAGGGGAGAAGGAGAAGCAAATGTCAAATTACTGTTAAAAAAAAAAATCCAAGCTCTGCTCGAGCATAAAATTGTTCAAGACTCAACAAAATGGACATATTCAAGAATTTTTAAAGAAGAAAATAAAAACTGTTCAAAAATAATGGAAGTGGAATGTATCTACCGCAGATTAAATTTCAGTGCCAAAAACTTTCAGTAATATCATCTGTACATACGTTAACTCTTGAAGTTCATAAACTTTGGGTGTGCAACCCATGTGAACTTAGGTGTTCACATGGATTGCAAAGTTGCATTGACAAATGCAACTTTGAAAACAGTTTTTCACAGATCAATTCTACCCTACCTCAATGTCAGTACTGATTAGATTTTTTAAAAATGTTTTATGATTTACACACACACACACACACACAACACACACACACACACACACACACACACACACACACACACACACACCCCTATACATGCACACATATATACATATAAAATTCAGCATGAAGAGCCAGGACAGGTCCAGATGTGAATAATCAGCAGGATTTTTTAGATAGACCAACAGGTTACTAGCTGAAATTCTTTCGGTTCAATGTCAAATATTAGTGCATACATGGGGCTGTCTATGAAAAGTGTCAGGAAACTTCAGGGTGTCCAAATGAAGCAGCTACATAACTGACTTGGGCTGGACACAGGGATCACACAACCCCTCTGTTACAGCAGCTCCACTGGTTGCCAATCCAGGCAGACTTCAAAGTGATGGTTCTAACCTATGATGCCTTAAATGGCTTGAGCCCAAGCTATCTCAAGGACTGCATCTCCTTTTGTGAGCCTGCTTGAGTGTTGAGCTCATCAGGAGAGGACTTTCTCTTGGTCTCACCAGCTTCACAGGTGTGTTTGGAAAGGGCCTTCTCTGTTGCTGCTCCTATACTCTGGAACTCTCTCCTACAGGAGGCTAGCCTGGCCCCATCTTTGCTGTCCTTCCTCAAACAGGCAAAGATTTTTCTCTCTGGGCAAACTTTTCCTGAGTGAATGGCTGCTGAGTGGGTTTTTTTTTCAATGGATTGTTTACCTTTCTAGAATGAATGTGCTTTGGTGTTGCTTATGTTTTTTTGTATTGTATTCATTGATCCTTTTAATACACTCACTGTTATTAGTTTAAATACTGTCTTTTAATTGTTGTAAGAAAAAGGCCAGTAAAAATAGTCTCTGCACAAACTTTTCCTGAGTGAATGGCTGCTGAGTGGGTTTTTTTTTCAATGGATTGTTTACCTTTCTAGAATGAATGTGCTTTGGTGTTGCTTATGTTTTTTTGTATTGTATTCATTGATCCTTTTAATACACTCACTGTTATTAGTTTAAATACTGTCTTTTAATTGTTGTAAGAAAAAGGCCAGTAAAAATAGTTTAAATAAAAGTAAAAATAAATAATACTTAGGATCATGGAGTGGCAAGGCTGAACACTTGGCAGGACTGCAGTCTTACATGGAGGGACCATTGACCGCCCAGTCCTCTTATTTTCATTTCTGATGGAGCACCCAAGATTTTGTTGGAATATTGGTATGATGAGAGTTAGCAGTAGATTTCATATCAAAGTTAGGTTTTGGGTTGGAAGTTGGGTTTCTTCCTCTTAACCCACTGAAGACTGTAGCATCCCTTTGTTTTGTTTTTTAGCATGATGGTTCACTGAAAAAAATGGTATAGAACATATTTTGTCCCTATATATTCCATTGGCTGAGAGAAAAAGAGTATCCAGTTGCAGAAAGGAATAGAACTGTTGTCTTAGTCATATTTTGTCTGGTTTTAGTTTAAAAATCTATGTGGCAAGTGGCTGGAACTTGGAGACATTGTTTATAACTGAAGACAATGATGTGGAGTACCTCTTGGGCGCGAAAAGTCCCACCCTGTGAATCTACAATTTATGATGCAACGGTTCATGAGACTTGTGATTAGAGATGGGGGTATTCGTCTATGAATACCCCCCGCACAGGTGGAGATAACGAGAGTCCGACCCAATGGGGCAGGACAGTCCACTCACCGATCCGCTAATGTCACAGGATCCGTGCACCTGTCCTATCATTCCAGGGATTGCGATTGGCAAGCCAGTCTTCGACCTGGCGGAGAGGCTTGTCGTCCCGCCTCCTGCCAGAACTGGCTAGCCGATCACAATCTCCTGAGCGATAGGATGGGAGCACGGACCCCACAGCATTAGCGAATCGGTGAGTGGACCATCCACCCTAATGGGGCCAGACCCTTATTATCTCCACCTGTGAGCGGGTATTCATATTCATATACAAATACGAATACCCCCCATCTCTACTTCTGATTGATGATTAATAGTTTTGAGGCTATCTTGGTGTCAAAGTAATTATAAGCCAAATGAATTAATGTAGATATAACATGTCAACCACACTGTGAGCAATGATGGCCAGGGGAAGTGGGTCTGACCTTTAAATAAACTGCAGTGAAAATGAGATAGGCAGGAGGCAATGGGAACTTTTATAAGTCTAATATTATATCATCCTATTAAATTGTGGACTGTGTGCAGTTAAGTATCTTTAAAAATATCATTGCATTTTGCATATAACCTGGTAGAAGGTATATTTTTTCTTGACAATAATGCTTCTAATTTATATTCTGCAAGCTATCTGGTTATTATAGGATGAAATGTGTCACCCTTGAACTGTCACATGTGCTGTTTTTGCAAGTAGTTTTGATTTGGTGAATTAATTAAATATGTTGCAGACTTAAAGAAGCCGAAGAAGTCTGTAGACAGAAAAAGGGAAAATCGCTTTACAATATAAAACAAAAACATGATTCTGGAATTGTAAGTATAGCTTGCTTTTTATTTTGCTTCTCTCATTCCTACATTCTCAGTTTCTTAATCATCTTCTCCTGATAAAGTGTGAAAAATATTCTAAACTAAAAGCCTCCTGTATCCTGCTTTGTATTGGTAAAACTATGTTTAACAATGGTACAGAATGACCTAGCAATGTAACTGCAAGACTTTAAACAAGATAACCTGACTTTGGTTCCTTTAGAAACAACTTTATACCAGATTTGGAGAACATGCTATTTTGTTGGACCACATTTTCCATTTGGCCTAACCTAGAATGACTAATAGTTAGGAATAACAGGAGTTGTAATCTAACTACCCTAAGTGCAATGTACTACTACTCATAATTCAGAGGAGGGATGTATATGTCAAAATTCCAATTTAGTTTGAAAATATTGGTTTTCCTTGCATGAGTGCAAAGTTTTTCCAGTTGTATGAACGAATATGTAGTGCTTTGCACCTGTTTTTATTCTCCAGAACGTAAATACTACATTAAAGGGATGAAAATATCTTGCAGCAGCTTGGTGCCCAGTATATATTGTTGTGTACAATTACAATGGCTGAAATCTTGTTGCCATTGATTAGAGACAAATTGCTGCCAATTAAAGCCAATTTCTAGGTGCATACAATTGACATACAATCAACAAAGTTGTGTGTACCCATGAAATCCTGAAAGGAAGCCATTAATAATTTGTAAATTATTTGTAATTTGTAAACCGCCCAGAGTGGTTTGGCCTTAATAGCCAAATGGGCAGTATAAAATCAGTCAATCAATCAATCAATCAAACAAACAAATAAAAGTTGTGATTTGCTGCCACTGCCACCATTACCATAGTGCACACAGAGATGATTAACAGGAATTCACCAGTGAATTACTTATTGTACTTTGGAGAATAATTAATAAGAACCCATGAAGAATAAGTGCAAAGACTGTTGATATGCTCTCACATATGTGCCAACTTCATATCAATAGCAAGTTGCCACACAGTATTCCATATTATTTCCAAAAGTATGCCCACTTTCAGGTTCAGCTTTGGAAGGAGGCAGTAATGGCTGCTGCATAGTGGTGAGGGAGAGAGTCAGTACCAGCTCTGTATGTGTGGCCTATAAACGCACATTTTGGGAAACGCATCATTTAGAAAAGGGACCAGGCCATGACATGTGCAAACTTAGCTCCCTCTTACCTGGCTTAGTGACTTGGTGTCTGAAGAAGTTGAAGGTGCTTCCTTTTCATTGTGAGCGTGTGACACATATAAAATGGAGAATGCAAGATAAATGGCGTTCTTTCCTTTACATTTGAACGTTCTTGGGCAATAACTCAGCTTAATATCTTAATAGTCTCATTTAATTAGATTTCAGTCTTATTATAAATTGAAAGAAAGGAAACTGGAGTGACCTCTTACTGCCCATCTATTTTTTAATTTCAGTTTTTCCAAGCACTTATATTTCATTTTATGTTCAAATCTGTTTTGCCTCCTTGGCAGTATTGACTGGTGCTGTTCTGTAAATACCATTTCTGTAAAGTTCTCAGCAGATAAATATTTCTAAATCATGAGGAAACCTTATAGCCATCTCTTTTATAATGGGAGCTAAGGTACACAACAAAACATTGCTACAAGAGAGTGCCCAGACAATTCTTTTCTGTTAGGTATCCATGTTTGGTAAATATAAAGCTGCTGATCCTACAAGCTCTGTACACAGGGTTTTGCAGTGGTGCATGTAGGTGAGGGGGATGCTCCAAGTGTGTATGGAACACTTTGACAGTGAGAAACCAAAGCATTGTGGCCTTTACAGTTTCATCCAAAGGTACCAATATTGTATGTAGTTGCCCATGACATTCAGTAGAGCTAAGGTATACAAGGACTGGGCACGTGTTGACCTTCAGCTGATGTTAGAATGCTTCACATGTGAACACTTTCTCCTGAAGCAATTCCATGTAAGAATATTTTCCAAATAGTTCTAATGAAGTGCTGCTTTCCATTCATTGGGATCTTTTTCTTCTACGCTGACTCTTGAAATACACTAAGGCTTATTTGCCACCCTCTGATAGCATTGTTGTCCCCTGCAACATGAGCTGGCCAGTTGTCACTTCTGTAAGTTATTTAAAATAGCTGAGTTTTTGGGTGATTTTAAGGAGGAAGGCAGGATAAAAATGTTTTAAATGTATAAATAAATATTAAATGATGTACTTGCAGTTTCAAAACAAATTTTGTTAACTCTGTTTCATGTTCTTTATTTTCAGAAAGCAAAAATAAGTATGAAAATATGAGAGAAGAAAGGCACATGTCATTGTCGACCTGTTCATAAACTCTATCTTTCTGTGGGGAGAAAAGGGAAACTACATCACAGCTCATTTATTTTCTTGACTATTTTACATTTGTCTTCTGGTTTGACTGATTAGTATCTACTAAGAACTTGACTGAAAAACAGATTTGCTCTTGGTAGGGCCCAATAGTAGATGTTATGGATTTGAGACACGCGTCTTCCATATACCCCATGCTACCCTTTGCATCCCAAACTTATTTTTGTAATGTAAATGGAGGAATACTAATAACAACTCAACACAGCCTTTGTAAGAGACAGTATCTCAGGCTGCCCTAACTGGAAATTGTATAAGCAGACAAACGTTACACTCCTGTTCCTGCTGGCAAGTTGTTTGCAAAAGCAAATGCACTTCAATGCTGCATTTCGATTAGGGGAGGACGAAGTTGCTTCTCCAGAATTGTGTCTTTTTCATGCCGACATTTGTCATTTGTATTTGAACTGGTAAGAGGAAGTTGCTTCTCCAGAATTGTTTGTGTCTTTTTCATGCTGACATTTGTCATTTGTATTTGAACTGGTAACGGTGCTCCTTTTACACTCTATGCCATGCTTTCCAACCTCGCTTTTGGTGTCCATTTCCAAAACATGATGTTAAACACAGCTGTCATTATAGTTGATAAGATGGGGCATTTGTTATTCCTTGTTTAACAAGATACAATGGAAGGAAACACAAAGAAATGGTACAACATAAAGAAATGGTGCTTAAGTGTACTGAGGACATTAAAATACTGAGGAAATACCTTGGGTATTTCACTATGCTATGTATGTTTTAAATGATCTCGTTATAGCAATGGTTCCCAAACTTGTGTCCCCAGATATTCTTGGACTACATCTCCCAGAAATCCTGGCCAGCACAGTGGTGAAGGTTTCTGGGAGTTTTAGCCTAAGACCATCTGGGGACCCAAGGTTGGCAGCCACTGTTTTACAGAGTAACAAAAAGCTGTCAATGGACGTACTATCAGTCTGTTGAACTGTGGAATTTAAAGGAATCAAGGCCTTCCCATTTGTTGTAATTGTGGATCATCAAGGATGAAATAATGAACCTGAATTTCTGGTCTGGTCAAAAAGCAAAGATTATTCCAGATCTTCTTTGCATTTTATTGAATATCCACACTGAACTGCGTAACAGTTGTATTTGTTTTGCACTTTCTCAGTCTTCAGCCACCAAAACATCCTCATATTTGGCTCTAGTTCACACCATTTCTTCCATGCAGGATTATGTCACCATTTAAGAATTTCTTACAAACAGCCAAAATTAGGAAAAATAAGGTGTGTGTATATCCTAAAGCCCTTTAGCATGGAAGGTGTTGGAGTAGTTGGGGTAGTTTTGGGTTCTATCCTGCTGATCCCCCGTCCCCCTTTTCATGTAGCCTCATACATGATGCCTGGCTGTCCACAGGTTATTATATGGTTCCAGGAATCATAAGGGCTTTAGACATTATGACCTCAGGAATTGACTTTTAAATGCCAAGCACTAAAATATATATATTTTTCATTCACTGAGAAAAAAAATCTTTTCTTGTTATGTGATCAGCCTGAAATTCTGATGTGTTTCAGGATGCTTCCTGATAGACCCTTTTATGTTTTCACAGAACTACATTATAAAATCCTATAGCATCAGGAATAAAGTTATTCTTAGGAAAGGAAAAAGAGAAGATTGTTACAAGAGACCTATGAAAAAGCAAATAAAGAAGCAGATGATATTTTAATAGCACTGATAAAGTCCCCATTTGTATTTATGTAAGCTATAGTCTTTGCTGTTTAACGTATGTGTTTTCTTTCATTTAAGTGCATTTAAAAACATGGTAGCATGTTTCTGTTTTGTAGACTTCCTGCTCCCTCCAGTACATACAGTATGTATATTGCCATACTAAATTAAATAATACTACACTTAACAAAGACCACTATGTGCAATACTGTATTTAGTGTTTCTATTCCAATTTTTTTTAGAATGTTAATTTATATGAAAAATAAAGTAAATAATTAAATCAAAGCTGTTTCAGATATATAATAATTTAGGAGGGGCTTTTATTCAACTGAGATCTGAAAGATTATCCTGGCTATCTGCAAGAGGCTTGATCCTTTTACAAAGAGAAATCTAAAAAAAGCTTTCTGCTCTGAAAATCTGGCTATATAAAAGATAGGGTGGAAAAGAAGAGGAAAGAGTAGGATAATAATAATAATATGCATATTTCCAAGGTGCAGGTTTCCATGGATTTGAATTTGTTTAAGACCATTGCCAAAAGTTATTTGAGATGGTATGTATGTGAGCTTTAAAAATCCAGCCTCATCACTTGTATCTTTTGTAAAGACATACAAATTATACAGCTTCATAAGCCTGCATAATGATCTTAACGTGTACTGGTGGTAGACAACCAAACTTCTGGCTTGATGAAGAGTTCTGAAGACCTGAAAAGCTCACTCTGAGATATTTTACTGCTCTTTAGAGATGGGCATGAACTGGGAAAATGATGAATTGGCCTGGTTCATGGTGCATTTTTCCTATTCATTCATCCTGGGGGCAGGGGGAAACTACCTGCTCCTGCCCTCTGCCATCCTCCTGCCGCTTATCACTGTCCCCATAGTCTCCCTACCTGACCTTTCTGCCACCACTGCCATTCTCAGAGGCAGAGAGCTTCAAGGAGCCGGTCTGCTGCCTCTGGGCATGCACCCAGGAGCATATTCATAAGCAGCAGGCCTGAATCCAGAAAGGGTGGCCAAGACCACTGCCTCTGAGGATGGTGGTGGAGGAGGAGGTATCGGTGGTAGAAGGATCAGGTAGGGAGGTGATGGAGGTAGTGGGAAGGGGTGAGTGAGCATCCCCTTTTGCCAAACGGAATGAAGCTCTGAGGGGGAGAAAGTTTGGCACCTTGTTTTGGTTCAGCAAAACAGGATCCCTAAACTGGTTCACAAAATGAACCACTAACCAGCCCAGTTTGTCAGTTTTTCTGGTTCATGGTTTGTTTTGTGCCCATCTCTAGTATTAGCCACCCTTAAATGCCGTTCAGTAGCAAAATTGGGCAAATTAAAGGCCAATTTAAGATCTAGCATAGGCATCCTTCAGTCTCGAGAGACTATGGTAAATTTAAGATCTACAGGGCTGTGATATAGTTCTGTCCATGGAAATATTTTTCTGCCTCCTGCAGTGGTCTATAATATAATGGTCTTTTCTAAATAATGGAAAGCTTCTTTTTAAGGTAATGCTTTTTGAGACATGTACAGGCTAGCTGGAAGCAAGATACACCTCCTTCAAAACTTATTATTGAAATATCAATACATTAAATAATAGTGTGACATTCACTTTTCGTTGACAAAGATCCTCTTAAGTAGGCAATGGTTTATACACAATTGTCTGCTACACATTGATTGGAAGCCAGAGGTTCAGATAGCTAATTTTGAGTGGATACAAGTTCTACATACATTCATTGATGGCAGACTGAATCAACATGCCTGAGAAGCTGAAAGAAACAGCTAAAACTGAGTGCATAAATCAAGGTATGATAACTATCCATGCCTATATTTTCATATCCCATGCCTGCCATATATTGACCTAAGTAAGAAGTGAAGAACATCCAGGCCATGCACCAAAAGCAGACTTCCAGTCTTGCCAGACCACACTCTTATTTTCCCAAGCCACACAATTAATCTTAGTAGTATTTACTCCATTCTGTTCCATTCTATCTCCAAATATATAATGGTGGAGACTTTGGTGAAGGAGAAAGCCTGGAGTCACACTTGTCATTCAGCCTGTCTTGTCTCTCCCTGCCGAGAATACAGACATAGAATAGGTGTGTTCTTTCTTTCTTTCTTTCTTTCTTTCTTTCTTTCTTTCTTTCTTTCTTTCTTTCTTTCTTTCTTTCTTTCTTTCTTTCTTTCTTTCTTTCTTTCTTTTTC